GATTGGAACACCTGAATCACATGATTGGGAGGGGATTGGAACACCTGAATCACATGATATGGAGGGGATTGGAACACCTGAATCACATGATATGGAGGGGATTGGAACACCTGAATCACATGATATGGAGGGGATTGGAACACCTGAATCACATGATATGGAGGGGATTGGAACACTTGAATCACATGATTGGGAGGGGATTGGAACACCTGAATCACATGATATGGAGGGGATTGGAACACCTGAATCACATGATTTGGAGGGGATTGGAACACCTGAATCACATGATTGGGAGGGGATTGGAACACCTGAATCACATGATATGGAAGGGATTGGAACACCTGAATCACATGATATGGAGGGTATTGGAACACCTGAATCACATGATTGGGAGGGCGGGGCCAATACTTTTGGCAATATAGTGTACTATGAACACTACATAAAAATCCAGAGCATAAACCAGATTAAGGCCGGCCATACATGGGTTGCTTTTCGAACGATTTTTCGTTCGAAAATTGGACCTAAGAATAATCGGCAGATTTTCTCTCTGTTAGTGGGGCAGTGGCACTGGCCGATTTTCGTGGTTCCTCCCCATTTCGTTTATCACGCCTGCTGGAAACTTTGTGAAAAACGGACGATTTTTTAAATCATTGGTAGCAACATCGATTACAGAACGAACGATGTTTTTGATTTTCAATCGAAAAATCGGTCGGAATTCGACCCGCGTATGTCCTGCTGAAACCCTCAGCACTACCAGAGAAGAATCGTATAATTTAATGGCCAGAGGCAAAAAGGATTTCCTGTGTCGCTCTGTGGGGCACCCAGTGATCCTGCCAGGATGTCTGTAATGTTTTCAATGTCTTTTAACAGACCAAGCTGTCTAGAAAAAATGGCAGTTAGAGGGACAAACCATTTACCATTGACAGGGGTGCTCACGACGGTCAGCTAATACTCGATGATGTAAAACTTTTATCCCAAAAGGAAAAAAAAAATACTGTAACTGCTTAAAATGTGTTAGCTGGAATTCATTGGTATTTCGTGAGTCAAGTCCTTTTAGATCATTGTCCAAAGGTGCCCAAAGGGATCGAATTCTACTAGGACACCTCACACTCACAGATTTAGAAACCTTTGGACACCTTTGGACACCTTTTGGACACCTTTGGACACCTTTTGGACACCTTTGGACACCTTTTGGACACCTTTTGGACACCTTTGGACACCTTTTGGACACCTTTTGGACACCTTTGGACACCTTTTGGACATCTTTGGACACCTTTGGACACCTTTTGGACACCTTTTGGACACCTTTGGACACCTTTTGGACACCTTTTGGACACCTTTGGACACCTTTGGACACCTTTTGGACATCTTTGGACACCTTTGGACACCTTTTGGACACCTTTTGGACACCTTTGGACACCTTTTGGACACCTTTTGGACACCTTTGGACACCTTTTGGACACCTTTTGGACACCTTTGGACACCTTTTGGACACCTTTGGACACCTTTGGACAATGGTGCTGCCCAAAAGTGTCTCCATTGCTCCTCCATCCAGAATGGAGACACCCTAAGACAGGAAGTGTGCTACTGGACGGATCACCAGGTGAAAATAAAGAAAAAAAAAAGAAAACCAATGCAGCCGCCATACTTAAGGATTGGTAAGCTACAATATATTACATTTTTGTTTTTGGATTTATTACCGCTTTTGGTTGGATGGTTTAAACTTTAGAGTTTTTGTCCCATGACCTCACTTTTATCTATTTTTAAGCATTTTTTTCCCTTGAGGGGAGGAGCCTGCTGAGGACAGGTTGCCGATGGGTTGCCGAAGCTTTTATTACATATACATTGCCTGCTCCCTGGTGGAGGGTCATTATATATTCTACAGAAAAAAAAATGCGAGAAGGACAAGCTGGAGATATCCAGGACTATCACATCGCTGACAACGGAATATAAGACCATGGATGAGATGGGGGCACCGGGGTTAAAAAGTGATACCAGTTAACCCCTTCATGCCTGAAGGTGAAACAAGTCTGATCGCCATTTTGCAACTTTGGAATGTGTCAGTAAAACTGTCGCAACAAAGTTTGGTGTCCGGGTGAATTCTTCTTCATTTTATTCAGAATAAATTGGGCCTTCACTTGGCGGTAAATGGTGATGGATATCTCCTGAGTTTTTGTATCTTTATTATCAAAGCAAAATTGGCAAAAAAAATAAATAAATTAGCTGTGTATTTCCTGCCATTACCATGATCCACCAATATATATATATATAAATGCTCCTACTTCTGATGTTCGTATATTATTTGTACCTGTAGTAGATGTCTACTGTGTGTACAAAAAATATATATATCTTATAATACTCACATGGAAGACAAATATATTTGAAATATAATTTTAAAAATATACTTCCCAAATTTATTGACATACAGTGGGGATCGAAAGTTTGGGCACCCCAGCTAAAAATTTGTATTAATGTGCATAAAGAAGCCAAGGAAAGATGGAAAAATCTCCAAAAGGCATCAAATTACAGATTAGACATTCTTATAATATGTCAACAAAAGTTAGATTTTATTTCCATCATTTACACTTTCAAAATAACAGAAAACAAAAAAATGGCGTCTGCAAAAGTTTGGGCACCCTGCAGAATTTCTAGCATGCACGGCCCCCTTTGCCAAGCTGAGACCTGCCAGTGTCATGGATTGTTCTCAATCATCGTCTGGGAAGACCAGGTGATGTCAATCTCAAAGGTTTTAAATGCCCAGACTCATCTGACCTTGCCCCAACAATCAGCACCATGGGTTCTTCTAAGCAGTTGTCTAGAAAACTGAAACTGAAAATAGTTGACGCTCACAAAGCTGGAGAAGGCTATAAGAAGATAGCAAAGCGTTTTCAGATGTCAATATCCTCTGTTCGGAATGTCATTAAGAAATGGCAGTCATCAGGAACAGTGGAAGTTAAAGCAAGATCTGGAAGACCAAGAAAAATATCAGACAGAACAGCTCGCAGGATTGTGAGAAAAACAATTCAAAACCCACGTTTGACTGCACGATCCCTCCAGAAAGATCTGGCAGACACTGGAGTTGTGGTCACTATTCCACTATAAAGAGATACTTGTACAAATATGGTCTTCATGGAAGAGTCATCAGAAGAAAACCTCTTCTACGTCCTCACCACAAAAATCATCGTTTGAACTTTGCAAATGAACATATAGACAAGCCTGATGCATTTTGGAAACAAGTTCTGTGGACAGATGAGGTTAAAATTGAACTTTTTGGCCGGAATGAGCAAAGGTACGTTTGGAGAAGAAGGGGCACAGAATTTAATGAAAAGAATCTCTGTCCAACTGTTAAGCATGGGGTTGGATCAATCATGCTTTGGGGTTGTGTTGCAGCCAGTGGCACAGGGAACATCTCACGAGTAGAAGGAAAAATGGATTCAATAAAATTTCAGCAAATTTTGGATGGTAACTTGATGCCATCTGTGAAAAAGCTGAAGTTAAAGAGAGGATGGCTTCTACAAATGGATAATGATCCTAAACACACCTCGAAATCCACGGGGGATTACATCAAGAGGCGTAAACTGAAGGTTTTGCCATGGCCTTCACAATCTCCTGACCTCAACATCATTGAAAAATCTATGGATAGACCTTAAAAGAGCCGTGCGTGACAGACAGCCCAGAAATCTCAAAGAACTGGAAGACTTTTGTAAGGAAGAATGGGCAAAGATACCTCAAACAAGAATTGAAAGACTCTTGGCTGGCTACAAAAAGCGTTTACAAGCTGTGATACTTGCCAAAGGGGGCAGTGCATGCTATAAATTCTGCAGGGTGCCCAAACTTTTGCAGACGCCATTTTTTTGTTTTCTGTTATTTTGAAAGTGTAAATGATGGAAATAAAATCTAACTTTTGTTGACATATTATAAGAATGTCTAATCTGTAATTTGATGCCTTTTGGAGATTTTTCCATCTTTCCTTGGCTTCTTTATGCACATTAATACAAATTTTTAGCTGGGGTGCCCAAACTTTCCATCCCCCACTGTATATGGAACTCCCTACCCCAATCTATCAGACTATCGCCTACTCTGCTCACCTTTAGGCGCACTCTGAAAACCTCTCTCTTCAGGGAAGCCTACCCCGACCCCAGCTAGTACTGGAATCCTCTACTCTTCCTACCAGTCCATCCTCCACAGCTAATTACCTCTTGTACCACTATCCCTCCCTCCTAGATTGTAAGCTCCCAGGATCAGGGCCCTCTAATCCCTCGTGTATTGAACTGTATTGTTACTGTGCTGTCTCCCTCCATAATGTAAAGTGCTGAGCAAACTGTTGGAGCGATATAAGTCCTGTATAATAATAATAATATTTGAAATACTACAATTTTGGCCATATTCAATATTATTATTATTATTATACAGTATTTATATAGCGGCAGAAGGTTTGCTCAGCGCTGTACATTACAGAGGGGGACAGAACATGAGACAATACAGTAACAATACAATACATGAGGGGTTCGAGGGCCCTGCTCCTTGGAGCTTACAATCTAGGAGGGAGGGGATAGTGGTACAGGAGGAAGTGGCTGTGGGGGATGGAGTGGTAGGAGGAGTGGAGGAGATCGGCTGTTAAGTGAGGGGGGGGAAGGCTTCCCTGAAGAGATGGGTTTTCAGGGTGCGCCTAAAGGTGAGGAGGGTAGGTGACAGTCTGATGGATTGGGTAGTGAGTTCCAGAGGATGGGGGAAGTCCTGGAGAAGTCCTGCAGTCGGGTGTGAGAGGTGGAGACCAGGGAGCAAGAAAGTAGGAGGTCTTGTAAGGAGCGAAGATTACAGGTAGGGTGGTATTTGGGTATCAGGTCGGTGAGGTAGTTTTGGGCAGCATTATGAATGGCTTTGTATGTCTGTGTTAGTAGTTTGAATTTAATGCGTTGGGCAATCAGGAGCCAGTGAAGGGAATGACAGAGGGGGGTGGAGGACACTGAGTGGAGGCCAGTGGAGGGATTGGCTGAGAGGGGTGGAGGACACTGAGTGGAGGCCAGTGGAGGGAATGACAGAGAGGGGTGGAGGACACTGAGTGGAGGCCAGTGGAGGGAATGACAGAGGGGGGTGGAGGACACTGAATGGAGGCCAGTGGAGGGAATGACAGAGGGGGGTGGAGGACACTGAGTGGAGGCCAGTGGAGGGAATGACAGAGGGGGGGGGTGGCAGATGCAGAGCCCCTGTGTCCTTGCCCAAACTCAAAAAAGCCTATGAAAAAGGTACCAGGGGCATCTCATGGGGCCCCCTACTGACCCCGGGTCCTGGGGCAGTGCCCGAATTTCCAAATGGTCAGTCCGCCACCTCAACCTAGTATCTGTCCCCCTGCTCCCCAAACCCCCCCCCCCTTTTCGTGTGCACTCTTGCACACCCGTTCGGTGTGCAACAAGCTCACTGCCATCCACGACC